GTTAAGTTTAGAAGGCACAGGAATGTGACTCTCTCTACTTCTCCCCCAAGAAAGGAGTCTTAAGATAATTCATTTGCAACAGGCTTCAATACTTCTTTAGGAGGAAGGGGGTCCTGTGTAGCTATGTAGTAGTAGCATCTCTAGCTGTTTTAATCTGAAGTCATTCTGGCTTCCCCACAATATCTATATCAATATCGATATCTGTATCTATCAATCATCCATCTAGACTGTTTCAAAGTAAGTTGTAGACATCATGACACTTCACCCTAAATACTTCAACATGTTACTCCTCAAAATAAGGATATTGTCCTATATAACCACTATGCCATTACTATACTCAAGAAATTAACATTAATGTATTATCTAATATAAACATCATATTCAAATTTCTCTGACCTTGCCCTAACTACTTTATAGTTTTTTTTTGGATCCAGAATCCAATCAAGATTCATGCCTTGCATTTGAATAGCATGTCTCTTTTAATTTCCTTTAATCTACAACAGTCTCTTATAACATTGACATTTTTAAAGAATTCAAGACAATTGTCTTGAAGAATGTCACATCATCTAGATTTGTCTATTTCCTAATGGTTGGATTTAAGTTAAATATTTTAGCAAGACTATTACATAGATGACGTTCTGTATTTCTTACTACATCATATCAGTTGGCACATGTCAATTTGTCCCATTATTGGTGATGCTAAATTTTGTCACTTAGATTAAGAAGGTTTCCTTCAGATCTCTTCATTGTAAAAGTATCTTTTCTCCTTTGTACTTAAGTCATCCGTGAGGTGATCTTTTGATATCCCTCCCAATACCTTTAAGCATACCGCAATTATAGTTAATTATAAAACAACTGTTAAAAGTGATGAGAGGCTCCATAATGAAAACAAACAAACAAACAAAAACACAAAAATATATTTAAGAATCATTGCACTTAAGGAAAAAAAAGAAAAATGGGGCTGCATGGAAAGAAAGCAACGTGATCACGGGGGAACCTACTCTGTTGACAAGATTATTTACATTTTGTTCCCTTTCACTCCCTGCTGCAGCTTGGAATCTAGGAGAGCTTTGACATGAAAGCACTTAACGACCTCCAGCAAATCAGCTATAGCGTCAATGAAAATTCTAGCGTTAAATAGGCAAAGTGATGGAAAAAGAGAATAGGTGATAGGTTGCGGTGGGGCTGGGAATGTTAATGCAAGAGAGTGAAGTTCTTTTAGGGTGGTGCTTGGCAGTGCTATTTCCAGCCCAGAATGGAACTAAGGTAAAATTCTGATGGGGAGCAAGAGAGGACTCATCCATCTCTCTTGGGTCAGCCCCTCTTGTTTGCAAACACACTGATATGTAGCCTTCCTTCTGTCATCTCCAGGCAGACTCATGGACTTCTACACTACGCCTCAGGCAGACCCAACGCAGTGCTGACATGTGCACTGACATCCCTTACATGTCTGCCTCTCTCCTGTCCTTCCCAGGGACTTGTGAATTCCGTGAGGGCAGAGCCTCTGCATCTCGGTGTCCCTAACACCCAGCAGAGGCAGGCATGGAGAATGTGCTTGGGAAATGTTTAATGTTTAAAGAGTGGAACAGTGAACAATAGCTCTGTTAACTCGTCCTTTGTTTCCTGCTTTTACCTAGCCAGTAAGAGGTAGAGCTGGCAATCAAATCAAGGCATTCTGGCTTTGGAGCCCACGGTCTTAACTACTATTCATGAAACAATTCCCATAGCATTTGATCTCGACATGCAAGGGCTCATTATGTAAGATAAAGTCCCTAGCCTTTAGTCAGGCATTAAAAGTCCTCTCCACATTAGTCCCAACCTACTTCCCCAAACTTATTTCCCAATATTTATTCCTTCATAGGTGCTTCACTCCAATGATTTTATTCCCTGTAATGTTAAAATTTCCCTCATCAGAAATGACATCACTTCTCTACTATCATCCCATTTCCAAATCCCTATCAGCATAATTTTAAAGACTTAACACAAAGGCTAACTACTGGATAAACACTTTTCCTTCCTACCTCAGGATGTCCTCTCTACTGTTTCTGAATTCTCAGAGAACTTTGGCTGAACTTCAATTAAGTCACTTGTCATTTTCTGCCTTGCATTATGATTCAACACCAGAACTCTGTACACATCCCCTGTTATACTACATGTACCTTTAAAGGTAGGACTCATGTCTGCCTATCTCCATATGCTCCAACGCCTAGCAGAGTGGCCTTCACGTAACAGGCCCTTGATGGATGTTTTCCACAGAAAGTAAATTTTCCTTGAATAATCCCGGCCTCAACTCAAATTTTGTTCATTCTATCTACTTAGAAGAGAATACCCTCTTATCATTTTCCATCTGTCCAAAGCTGATCTCCTTCATAAACTTTTTCTAAATATCCAGCCTAAACTTGGAGGTGACGGATTTGTTTATCACCTGGACTGTGGTGATGGCAGTACAAATGTATACATACATCCAAACCTACCAAACGGTATACATTATAATTATATGCAGTTTTCTGTATACCTCAATAAAGCTTGGGAAAAATCTTTTAGAAGAAAAACATGCATAGACCTGGAGTCTGGATTCTAATCCAGTCCTGCAATTTATTAGCTGTTGATATTGGGCAGATTACTTAACATTTCTGTGCCTTGATTTCCTAATCTCAAATAATAGCATTTACTTCATGGGGTTTTATTTTTTCCATAAGGATGAAACGAGTTAATTCCTATAAAGTATATAAAATAGTAATGCCATATTGTAAGCACTCAATAAAAGTTAACCATTATTCCATATTCTCTAATTTTCTCTCATGGTTTGTAATCCTCATTTGGCAATGATTATTTACCAACTGGTGATATGTTCTATGTTCTATTTTTGCCAGAAATTTAAATTTAAATCAAGTGTTATTAATTGATTTTTAATGGTCATATCTTGTTTTCTTAAACAAAGCATGGGATAACTTTGATTATTGAGCATATTCTATATGTCAAGAACTTGGCTAAGTGCTTTGTATAAATATTTCATTCATACTCACAAGAACAGTATAAGCTAGCTATTATTTCCGTATTATAGATAAAGCAAAACAAAAACAAAGATTTAGAGAGACTAAGCAATTTGTTCAAGTTTTCTAAGCTGGTAAGTAGTAGAGCTAGGACAACACTTGAAGGCAAAAATAATATTCAGTTTGTATCTGTTTCCCAGAATGATTAATATATATTCATTAACACAATTATCATCTATGTTCTATTTTCTTTATTGCTATGTATTTTGTTGCTATGATATTTGAGGCATATATACTTGGTATGTTAGGTTTTCATTTTTAATATACCTTAATACAGAGACCCTACGTTTCACTTTTAACATAAGTTTATCTTAGACTCTAATATAAACCCTTCTTGTACGTCAATGACAAGAGCATGATATACTTTTAGTACATTAATATAACTAGAGACTTTTTTTTACTCTTCTCCATGCATTTGTGCTAATCTCTATCAATTTATGTTTAGTTTTTAGCTTTGTTATACTTCTTTGGATTAATGCTGTTTCCATAGCGAACTTACTAGTGTTCAAAGAAATGCTAGAGAACACATGCTCCACACCTCTGATTCACCAAGGTGGGAGGGAAATGGGGCTCAGGCAGACAGGGAACATGTCAATATCACTTAGCCAGCGAAGGCAGAAGGGACCAGAATCAGAACTCTTTATTCCCACTATTGTGTTCCTTTTGCTATGCTACACTCCTCCTGCATACAAATAAGTGACATGTTTTTCATATCCTAACCCTGTCCATCTACGACGTGGCTTTGGACCAGTGCCCTCAGTTTACCTGTTGTTACACATTCCCAAATAGGAAGCAAGTGGGGAGACATAAAAATAGGAAATATTTGAAGAAGGAAAAGCCCTGTGCAATTTTTCCACCTCTGTGCCTTTGCTCTCACTGCTCCCCAGATGTAATATCCTTTCTCTAAACGTCCTTAAAGCAGTGCTAGTCAAAATACGGTCCACGGATGGGTATCTGACTAAGAAAGGTTTATCACCCGGTGATGAGACAAGTACAGAAACAGAGAGTGCGTACTTAGAAAATATTATAGCAATTTAATAGAGCAATTTATTCCTGTTGAATCTAATAATGGTAAAACTTGGTGTTCCATTTTGTGTTCTTTTTATTTCATTTGCTTAGTAAGTAATTTTAATTGTACACTACAAAAATATTGGTCTCCAACAGACTTCTACCATCACAGAAAATTTGAGAGGCACTGCTTTAACGGGTCCAGGTTCAAGTGCCACCAATTCTTCTATAGAGCATTCCTGATGTTCCTGATAAATGAGCTTTCAAATTTTATAATGCTTGACCTAAGCCTCTCTTATGCCTCTTATTACTTTCTACTTAGACTAGTAATTATTTGTGTGCTTTTCTCATCTCTTCAGAATAATTACAACCTTCCTGAGGACAGGTTATATATCCATAACACCTCATAATTGGCATATAATTCATAAATTCACATTATACTAATGGACTGGATGGATTAACTGTTCATAACTATTCACAGGTTTGGAGAGGGTAGAAGTCCAAAAAAACACAGAGAGCACAACTTTGCCTGAACTCAGATAGGGAAAGGATTGAGAGAGTACAGAGTTCAGACACTACCCAATTCCATATTTTGTATATGAGTATTTACATCAGTGAGAAACCCGAACATAATACAGAAACCCTTTTTCTCCCTAAAGACAATCTAATAAATTGTCAAAAATTAAGTTTTTAAATCAAACTTGTATCTCAAGAAACTCCACAGTACCCCTGAGATTTTAGTACAAGCTAAACAGATATCACATTATGGCAGTCTCACAAACCAATTTCCAGAACACTCGGTTATGTGGGCAGGCATACCAAATCCAATGCACCCAGACTCAAATCCTTTACCAGTAGAGCTGATAATATTCCCAATTACTAATTAAGGAAAACAGAACAGAGTACTGACTTCCGAAGTCAGCTCTAGACTCCACTCACCAAAGTATTCATCGGCAGGTGGATTTTCCATGTCATACAGCATCTTCTTGGTGAGGTGCTCGAGCTCATCTTCAGGGCGGAATGAGGGGGGAGTAGCCGGAGGCCCCAGTGATCCTGTTTGTCCACCCTGAAAGGCAGAAAAGACATAGTCCTTTAAATGCAATCTAGACATCAACGAAGGCAATCAAGTAGTGTTTGCATCATAGAGGAAAAAGCACTGGACGTGACTATTAGGAGTCCTGGGTTTTAGAATTCAGTTATCCAGTGTCTGACCTTGGAGACACCACTTTATTCACTTGCCTTATCTAGATGACTCATCTATCAGGCTTTAGAAATCCATGTTTACAACAGTAGGACACTATTTCATTCAACAACTGCTGAGTAATCACTATGTACCAGTCATATATTTATACAAAAGCTATATAAATTGAGCCTCCCCCCTTATGGAGCTTACAGTCAAGTGAGAGATATAGGCACACTAATAAGTAAAGATAAAGCTACTGCAGCAAGTGCATAATCAGGGTGCAAATGGGACCTCTCACGGAGCCTGAGAGGAAAAATTCCAGAGAAGAAGCGGCGGCACAGACTAGGACTTATTCAGCTAAAGGAGAGGAAACATACAGGTTAATGTTTCTCATATACAGGTGAGGAAAAGGCCAGGTGGCATAATCCAGGTGGAAGTTGTGTATTTCTGGATCATGCATATAGTTGGAGATAGGAAATAGGAATCTTAACAGGAACAGGGGTCTAGAAAGCGAAGGGATTTCTGATTCTGTTAAGGAGGCTGAGTAATTTTTTTCCCCAGCTCTGCAAACAGCCAGATATCACATGGAGAAGGTACATCAGTAGCATTGACACTGAGCTGGTGTTTAAATAGGTGGGTGAGCCAGATATATTACAGCAATGTAAGGGAATTGAGTGCCAGGTGAAAGAGCACTTGAGGTGATCAACCAAGAATCCAAAGTATGTAGAGAAAGGAGAAAGGCCAGATGCCAGATGTAAAATAGCTTAGAGCTATGTCAGTAAAGGGACTTGATTATATTTTCCTTTGCATGTACTATAACCTTGACCATTTCCAATATCACACCCCAATATCTAAAATCGAAGTGTGAAAAATAGAAAGACCGTTATAAAAGGTTTAGAAATGATTGGGCCGGCCCCGTGGCTTAGCTGTTCGGTGCGCACGCTCCGCTGCTGGCGGCCCGGATTCGGATCCCGGGCGCGCACCAACGCACCGCTTCTCCGGCCATGCTGAGGCCGCGTCCCACATGCAGCAACTAGAAGGATGTACAGCTGTGACATACAACTATCTACTGGGGCTTTGGGGGTAAAATAAATAAATAAATAAAATCTTAAAAAAAAAAAAAAAGAAAAGAAATGATGATGATGTCCACCACGGCTAATGGGCAGATATGAGATTGGGAATGCCCTTCCTTGACGTTTATGCATTCTTAAAATCGTTGACCAAGGGTTTCTCCTCTCATGAATAGTTTATAAGAATCGATTCAATAAAACTTGAAGTTGCATATGCATTCATCTGTTATCTTCACTATACCAAAATGAGTTCTTGGGTGTGAAAATCCTATAAAATACAAATCCTTGTACAAATGCCTCATTCTTACTACCAACATTTATTTCAACAGCTCCAAGATGGGTATTAATTATTTGTGTGATGTCTATAGCATGAAATGCTTCTAAACATAACTGAAACTGTTGATTGGTGTCTATTTGGCCTCTTCTCTATAACTATTTCCCATTTTTCAGTTTTTAAAAATGTACAAAATGTTGGAGTACAGACATGCAAAAGGCTGAAAAGGCCAAGAATTTTCTATGTTGATCACCCACCTACCCCTGGGATTTTATTTCATTGTTGGACAATGTGGATTGGGGACTGGAAAGCAGTGAATAAATTATGGCATGTGGCAGGCGACAGAGACAAAAATTAGAGCTGCATGCTGGGATCTGAAGAATCATTACCTCAATCTACTTATTGTGAGATAAGGAAATTGACACTCAAGAAGACCAGGGCAGAGCTAGTTATGATAAAGCCAGGACATGAGCCCTTCCTAGACTCACTCATTTATTCAATAAACATTAAATGTTAAACTTAAGGCCTCCTCTAAACTGCAAATAATGCCTGCCCTATAGGGTTGGTATGAGGGTTAAAGGAACTCTTGAATAATTCATTTATACTTTTGCTTATTAGTTTATCTGCTCATTCTTACAGTGTCTATTTACACAAAGATGCATTAGACACAGTCTTTGCCTTTGAGAGGATTGTAGTCTGGTGGGGGTGAGAAGCATGCACAAATGATTAATTATAAAAAGCATAGGATATTGATGGGAGGGGATGTAGACATGGACACTGAAGGAGCGACTTGCTAGTATTATTAAACTTTAAACTGCACTTCTAGGAAAACTTCACAGAAATACTCATAAAATTTGCTCTGATGCTGAAAGCTATGCCACCGATATTTATTTGAAATACTAGGAGGGTTTCCCATAGTGGACAGGTTTCAGCAGAGCTTCCAGACTACGACTGATTAGGAAGAAGGACCTGGCCACCCACTTCCCAAAAAATTGGTCACGAAAATCCTATGAATAGCAGAGGAGCAGTGTCTGATACAGTGCTGGAAGGTGAGAGAATGGCGCGGAAAGACCAGGCAGGGTTCCGTTCTGCTTTACACATGGGTCTTGGAGTAGGAATCAACTCAACAGCTCTGACAACAAACTCATAAAATTATATGACCAAGGTTGTTCACAGAAACTATATCTGAGAGAAGGAGGAAGAAAAAGTAACAATGTAACTATCCATCCATGGGTAAGGCATCACCCAAATAGACAATGATAGACACCTAAAATGGAACGTGAGCAGGTTGCCAAAGAGTACGTTGTAAGTCCATATGTACAAGTATGAAAAGATGACCTAGCCATGTTATCAATGAACAGATCCAGTTGTAGAATAAGCATCTAAATGATGGTCTCACTTTTGTAACATAAGTACAGTTAAATTCTCTACAGATCTATATACAGCTAGGGGAAAAAAGCCTAAAGGACATATACTCTACTGTGAAAGGGGATTATCTCCAGTGTTGGAGTCCTGGGGGGGCTTGCACTTTCTAAGTTTGTTTCTTTATTGTATTGTATGTAGTTCTACTTCTGTAATCCATGAAATATAACTTTTTTAATGCAATGAATTTAAGTGATAAAGATATGCTGGATACTAAGAAAACTCTAGAACAGGCTTTTATCCCAGATCAAGTGGGGGACTCTGAGAGGAGCAAAAGGTCAGAGGTGAGAAGCAGTTGGCTGTGAGTGGGGAAAAGTGTAAGTGGTTCTGTGTTTAAGACTGGAGAAGTTAGAGATAGGAAGGGTCAGCTGATAACTGCCATGCCATAGTGAGGTGCTTAGGGCTTCTCTCTGGGCCTGAGGCTCCAGGCCTTGTGTGAGACAATTCTGAAAATCTGATGAGCTAAAATCCCTCTGGGCAGAGAATAGCATCCATAAAAATGCACATAAAATTTACTTACAATTTCAAGAGATTCATAGACTACAGGAAACATATCCAAAGACCCTTAGATAGGAACATCCAGGCAATAGAAACTACAAGAGGGATTTTCAGCAGGGGAGTGAGCTAATCAGATTAGAAAGCTCTGGCTGGAATGGAAGGTGGATGGGAGAGCTATGAGACTAGAGTGAAGTGGGGAATTTATCATAATGTACTTGTGGCCAGAGAGAGTGAAGGGATATACTATGCGGCAGTGACATTACGGCTGGAGACAGACTTCACTATGATACTAACTCGGTGTCCTTAGGTGAGCATGTGAACCTCTCCTAACTTCAGAATCCCTCTGTAGAATGGGCTTGCCAATGCTACCTCACCATCTTTATGAGAAATAAAATGAAATAGCTTGCATCTCATGCTATACAGGGCTTAACTACTTTCAAATCATGCTAACAAAGGGACTCTCTTTGGATCCCTCAACCTGTCTCTGAGGGAGGGGATTATCCCAGTTTAGGTGACAAAATTAAAGACAAAGATAGAAGAATGACCTACACTTTTTTTTTTCTAGGTTTGCAATAGAGAGCTTGAGCTTGAGTCCAAGAGCTTGAGTCCAAAATATGGTGTCAGCTGACTCCAAATTCCATGCATTTTTTCCAACCAAACATTGCTTCCCACCGGGAAAGTGCAGAAAATTATGAAATACTACCACTGATATTAATAGTGCTGGCTGTTTTAATTTAAATCAACAACTATAAAAGAAAACTTGCTAATTCCCGCTTCCAGTCTTAGGGTGGACCCTCAAGGACTGGACACAATTTATTATTGTTTAGGCCCAATATCTGCTTCTCTTTTAACATAAACAGAGGCAAGAAGAAGGCCAAATCTGTTCTCTATAAATCTAAGCCAGCAATTCGGATTCTACCCTTAGCACTTACGTTTCAAGTAGAGGTTTAATTTCAAAGTACATTGTTAGTATTTCACAGATTTTAAGAAAAACATATCATTCCTTTTAATCTCCCAATACTCCTTCCTATTTGCTTGCAGTACTGTTTTTGAAATGACACATTTGAAAAGGCTCTTTCCTTTTCTTTTAGATTCTAATCTCATATAATGCTAATCTTGGATTTCTGGTATTTCTTATGAACAAAGACCCCAAGAGATCATCTGTTCCAGTGTTTCTGAACCTTATTTGGCTACAGGACCCCTCCACCCCCACCTCACACACACCCAGTGCATAATACTCAACATTAATATAGGGAATACATATTGGTAAAAACACAGGTTCCTCAATTTCCAGTTGTCTTTCACACTGAGGAAGACATAGCCCAGGACTTTCTTCAGGGTTCAAGTCCCATAAGTAGTAGTTTAGTACTTTTCTCACTGGCATGAAGAAACCCCTTTTAATTTTTCTCTCTCAGTAGTGCTTAGGACTCAACATGTCCTAAGAAAAATTAGTAACTGTTTCCAATCCATTTTTTAATATGCAGCTTCTAGCATTGTGTTTGAGTAATAGAAAATTTGTGGAGTAGGGGGTTAGATGGGGATGAGTTCCATTATTTTGTTTTTTATTTCTTCAAAAGTAGAAATGTGAATAGTATCAGCAGTGTATTCATTGTAGCATA